TTCTGTGCGGCCCGGTACCAAATGACCCACGGACCTGTACCGGTCAGTGGCCCGGTGGTTGGGGACTGCTGGCATAAAAGATCCCCGCTATGTGACAAATGCCATATTGAAGAAGCCACACTCCATTCGTATTTTTTGTGTACAAAATTAATCACATTTTGGTCTGACATATTCAAAGAGAGAGTGTTTTTGTTGTTGTCACGTTGGTTTCGTTTTGACTTTGTCTTATCTTTATGTTTCATGTTCACATCAAAAAAGAGGACAAATTTGTATTGTTGATGTTTGAATTATTGTTGATGTTTGAATTTTTCATGTATATTTCCTCAATAAAACAGTTTAAAACACATATATAAAACATATTCCCTATGCACTATTATGATGCTAGCACTAAAGCTAACCACTCGGCTGTGGTTACATGTAGTCTCACCGCAGGCCGCAGGCTGGTATACAGCAAAACTAAACTTACCCGCATTAACAATATTCATCCGAAAGTCCATACTGGCTTTAAGACAGCAATCGGCATAAATTTGTACCAAAGTTTAAAGTAGTTCACTGAGTCCAAGTGTTTACGTGCTAGAGTGCTTACGTGCATACGTGCATCCCACGTCACTCGTACTGACGTATTACGTAAATTGCATAATACATCTGTACCATAGTAACTCTATGCGTACATGCACGGCAGTGTTGCCCATACTGTATATGCAAATATAATGCTACTTATGAAGTTCGGTAAAAAAAAAATTGTCATGTCTATTAATTAAAGCTGATAGTTTTAAATTACATTTAGAAAAAGTTAAACAAATAAAAAAGATGGTACTCATAACTTTAGTAGGAATTGGGAAGAGGGTTTGTGTTAAGGACTGCACAAAAGTGGAAGGGGTATACGTTTTACTTCTTCATTGCCTCCCTTTCTGAGGCATAACCCAGTATTGGGGTATTGCAGGCTAACAAAAAAACCCAAATAACTTCCCATTCCTAAAGGGCAGACCTGTTCTTCTGGTTCAATTCGCATCTTTTCTAAATCAAAACAAGTTTTTGGGCTACTGCATAAAGCTTCTAACTAAACGCTAATTCTGACATTTTTAATTGAGAAAGCTTTCTGGAAGCGAAACGTCTTCAAACTTGGAGACTAATTCCAGTGGATTGTTTTTTTTTTGTTTGTTTGTTTTTTTTGGGATAGCTCATCAAAATCGTTTACCACAAAACCCCAAAACAATCTTTAATTTTAATGCATTCCAAGCAGGTTCTCCACTATGACCTGGATGACTGAGAATCTTCACCAGCATATTCTTCATTACCTTTTTCAGACATAAACACTTAATTATACATTTAACATACTGATATATATCATTGATTATACGTAATGTTCGTATGCATTAAATGTATGATTTTACTGGATTGTCTGAAATAAAGTTATTAATTCATACAAAGCTCTAATGATAAAAATGGAAGTATTAAAGAGGTATCACTGAACAAAATCTTAAGATGAAACCATTTAATCGTCTATTTTAGAACAAAAAGGAAAAATGATACAGCCTGTGACAAAGTGGTTCAGTTTGTGTTCACCACTTGTCCCTTATTCTTTTTTCTGATTTGTAATGCTAAAATTTAAACATTAGTTAGCAACTTTCCTTCACTTACTATGTAGGAAAATGCAACACCACTTCGGTCTACTTCAGCAGGAGGTCCACATGGAACGCCGAGAGCATCAGATGCAGCTGGAAGGTGCAGTAGCTGATCCTGGAAGGCTTCTCAGTGCTGCAGTAAGATCAAAAGTGCCATAATCAGTACAACAGGGAGGAAGCCTTCCAAGCACATCTGGGGAACCAAAAGCATCCAGTCTGAGACCACCCAGTTGGAAAGGTTCAAAGATGCAACCCTATGGTGAGGATGAAGATATTGAACATTATTTAACAACATTTCAAAGAATTGCAACATCTGGCACCATTTCTCAGTGGTAAAGCAAGAGCTGCTTATGTAGCTATGGACACCGATGACACAATGGACTATGACAAGGTAAAAACTGCTGTGTTGGAAAAATTTGAAATAAGTACTTGGACTTATTCGAGGTTCCGGGCCACAACGGTGAAGGAAGATGAGACACCCAAGCAGCTGCGAACACGCCTTAAAGACCTGTATGAAAAGTGGATGGTTCCAAAGGAAAAGACACAGACCAAAGTATTCCAAAGAAAATTCCCCAATCAGTAGCAATAACTGTGTTAGGGAATTTAAATGGAGAGGTCAGTTGGTTTGTCACTCTTGTGGCCTAACTGGTCATTTTAAGGCTAATTGCCCAAGTCAGTAAGACTTGCTGTTTTTTGGTGTGTTTTTCACCAGAGTGTTTTAATTTGTTAGAGGAAGAACCTGAGTCTGTAGAACCCTCAAGTGCTCAGGAGCACACAATCTGTGTTTTTTATTCAGGGAAAGCCTTGTGTCGCTCTATTAGATTCAGGTAGTAGCTGTACTCTTATTAGGCAAGATTGTCTTCCCAGAGACACCACGTTATGTGTTAAAGTCCGGTGTGTTCATGGTGATGATGTTGTACTGCAAGTACATGAACAGGAGCATTTGCTTACACTTGGAGTGATGGATAAACTTCCATACCAGGTTGTATTGGGTCGGGATATGCCAATCCTTGGGGACCTGTTAGCAAAGAGTGAGAAAGATTTAGATTTTTCAGGCAAAGTTCTGCTTGCTGTCACTAGGTTTAGCTCTAAGCTGTGTCAGTCAGAGCCTGGTTTGAGAGGGCACCATTCAAGAAAAAGCAGGAGTCAGAAGAGACAAGATAAAGTAAGGGAGACAGAACTTGCTGAGTTGCTTTCTGAACCAGAGATCGATAAGCGTCTATTCCACCTGCTCTTAGAAGTAATGATTTTATGGGATTCTTTATAAATAATTAAAAATAAGATCATTAGCACTCATCTATCCACGATTGGTTTGTCTCTGGAGGGTGGGGTAGTATCTGAGGTAGTCATGGAATCTGAACCGGGTTTAGACTGCTTTGATCCAGTTGAACTTTCAGAGTTAGCAAAATTATTGTCTTCATCTAAGAGTTCAACTTGTATGTTAGATCCAGTTCCAACCAGGTTATTTAAGGAGGTATTCCCTTTGATCTCCTCCTCCATTTTAGATGTGATTAATCTATCTCTGTTACAGGGATATGTACCTAAAGCTTTTAAGGTTGCTGTAATTAAACCTCTGCTTAAGAAACCGTCTCTTGACCCTGATGACTTGGTCAATTAAAAACCTATATCCAATCTTCCATTCTTATCAAAAATTCTTGAAAAAGTAGTTGCCAAACAAGTTTGGGATCACTTACATCATATTGAACTTTTTGAAGAGTTTCAGTCTGGCTTTAGAGCTCATCATAGCACTGAAACAGCTCTGGTGAAAGTCACTAATGATATTCTCATGGCCTCAGATA